GTTCGAGACCAGCCTGGGCAACTTGGCAAGACCTCGTCTCTACAATAAATCAAAAAAATATCCTGCCATGGTGGCGTGTGCCTGTAGTTCCGGGTACTTGGAAGGCTGAGGTGGAAGGATCACTAGAGCCCAGCAGGTCAACGCTGGGGTGGCTGTGCATGTGTCATTGCACTGCAGCCTGGGCAACAGAGTGAGACTCCAACTCAAAAAAAAAAAAACAACAGAAGTGTTATAATAGAAAGTCAAGGAAGTTCCCCAGAAAGTAAAACAAAGAAACAAATTCGAAAAGTTGGAGAGAAAAGATACTAAAATGTATTTATTTATTTTTATAGAGACAGAGTTTCACTATGTTGCCCAGGCTGGTCCTGTGAATCCTATCATTAGAGACCAGCTTGGGCAACATAGTGGGAACCTATCTCTATACAAAAATATAAATAAATAAAAAGCCAGTTCAAAAAATCCAAATGAAACACATAACAGGAGTTTCATAAAGAGAGAACAAGAGAAAAAGCGGAGAGGTTTAGACTACCAGGGTTAGACTACTCAAGTGGGGAGAAAGTGACAGAAGCCAGCTGCTTAGACTGACAGGTCCTGAAGTTTTCTGAGAACCCTTTTCCACCTGCCTTCTAGCTAAGAGTCAGTCTTCCCATTAACTTTTTCCCAAAACTTGTGCTTACCTGGGGAGTAGGTTTTCGGTAGAAGTGCTTAAGCTGTTCATAGGGCAGAGGAAGTTGCTGGCGTTGGTACATAATGTGCTTTAGAAGTTCACAAGTGAACCGACAGCAGCCTTCCTGGCTCACAGGCCCAGGAAACACCACTGGGACCATGCAGTCTCTTGGGCAAAAGTGCTCCGAAGGGTTGGGAGTTTCCTGGGCAGAGGTAGTCTCAAGTAGTTCTATCTGGGACGCGTGAGTTTCTTCTGACTTCTCATACCACTCCATATCTGCTAAGTGAACAGAGGGGGACAAGAGAGAAAAATGAAAAACCTCAAGGCCAAGGTCAGTCTTCACATTCCCTGTGCCCACCATATGAGCCACCACTGCGAAGGGGGCACCCCAACACACGCACATACCCTCCGCAACCTCCTGCGTGGGCCCTGAAGGGGAGAGACTCTTGATCCCTGCTCCCCAAGGTGATGTAAGTGGCGATAAGATAGTGGGGGGATTTCAAAGGCTGTGGCTAGGGCTCTGCTCGGAAAGCGGCGGGACCTGATCTGGGAAAAATGAGTTGAAAGTGTAGTCAAGCGGGGTCCAGGACGCCGAAAGGATGACAGAATAAACCAACTCGACCCAGGACGATGGAGTCACCGGCACAGCCAGAGCGGGAAAGACGGGGAAGATGCCTGGAGAAGGGGCCAGGGGCTAAATGATCGGAGGGGGCGGCAGTAGGGAAGAATGAGATTCCCAAGGCTTCCCACACTCTGGGCCCCGCGCCTTACCAGGGACTGAGACCGGGGACCGCACTTCCGGCTCCGCAGCCGCCATCACGAACCCCTCCCTCTGCTCGGTGCGGTTAGAATAAGGGCCCCGTGGGGCATCATGGGTAGTTCGCGCCTTCACTTCCGGCTCGGCCCGGCCGAAAGGGGGCGCGGCGCGCCGCTGTGTAATGGCGGCTGGGCGGAGCTGGGATTGAACCCGCGATCCTCCTTCACGGCTTCGTCACGTCTAGCCCTGCCCCTGCAGGGAACCCCGGCGTCCTCAGCCTCTGAGCGCTGCCTTCTAAAAGACATCCGCTCTCAGGATCCATTCACCACCATGCGTTCACCACCACTGTGCACCTACTTGGTGCCGGGCCCTGTCCTAGGTGCTGGAGACTGGGCGGCGTACAAACCAGGCGCCGGCCCTGTCCTCAAGGGGTTCACTGCCTATGTATAAATACAATGCAGTATGATGGATTCTACCGTGCAGTGTGTGCAGACTGTGGAAGCGAAGAAAAGGGACGCCTAATCCAGAGGAAGGAGGGGATGGGAAGGGGTAGTCCCAGAAGAAAGTGTGAAGCTGTGACCTGTAGGATAAGTCAGCAAGGTAAAGAGTACTCCTAGTACTCCTGGAAACCTTGAGACAAGAGCATCCTTTTTCGAGGAATGAAAAGAGTTCACAGTATAAAGAGTTAAAGCTGTAGTGAACAGGAGCCAGATCATGGCAGGACCTTATAAGCCATGTTAGAGTTTGAACTTGATCCTGTAGGGGGATAGGGAAGCTTTGAAAGGTTTAAGTAGGAGAGTGACATGATTAAATTTACAGCTTACAAATTTAATCTCTACACTGGCTGCAGTGTAGAGATTGGATTACAGGGAGGATAAGAGGAGACAAGGATACCAGTTAGAGGTAGTGACAGCAATTACCCAAGTGCATGGTGAAAGAGTCCTAAACTAGAGTATTCACAGCGGGGGTGGAGAGAATTGAGAGAACCCTACAGATATTTAAAGAAGTCCAGTGAAGCTGAGCTCGGTGGCTCAGCCTGTAATCCCAGCGCTTTGGGAGGCTGAGGTGAGTGGATTGCCTGAGCCCGCGGGTTCGAGATCTGCCTGGGCAACTTGGCGAGACCTCATCTCTATAATAAATCAAAAAAATAGCCAGACGTGGTAGCACGCGCCTGTAGTTCCAGCTCCTTGAAAGGCTGAGGCGGAAGGATGGCCAGAGCCCACCAGGTCGAGGCTGCGGTGGCCGGGAGCGGCCACTGCACTCTAGTCGGGGCGACAGAATGAGACTCCAACCCCCCCCCCAAAAAAAAGAAGTCCAATGAGCATAATTTTGTTGTTGATCCAAGGAGGAGGAGAAAGAATAGAAAGAGACTGCCAAGAAGACAGGTGGGTGTCTGACCAGCAAATGTATGGCCAGTTGTGCCATTCAGTGACAAAAGGAACACTAAAAGAGGACCAGGATTATAGGAGGTGAATAAAGAGAAAAGATGAGTTTAATTTTTCATAGGCTGAGTTTGATGTCAATGAATACAGACATTTAGAAACACCATTTGAAACAGAGATGCATTTGAGAGTTGTCTGCATAGGAATGGTTAAGATCACCCAGGGAGAGTGTGGAATGAGAAGGGACTAGGATCCTGAAGACACTAACATTTAGGGGATGGCCAGAGAGAGAGAGAGAGAGATACCTGTGGAGGACACTGAGGAGTACCCAGAGAAGGATAAAGAAAAACAGATGCGTCGTCATGGAGGCCAAGAATAGGGTGTGTTTCAGGAAGTAGGGACCAGAGGTCAAAACATACTATAAAATTACGATGATTAAAATACCACACGATTAGCTTAGGAATAAACAAGACAGAAGAGAGTCCAGGAACAGATACATGTATTGTATATCTTAGCATATGATAATGGTGACTTTTCAAAACAAATAACTTGAGACAATTCCCAATCCATTTAGGAAAAAAAATCACTTCCTACCACACACAGTACATAAAGATAAATTCCAAATGAATTAAAAATCTGAATATAAAAATAAACCTCAAAACTTCTAGAAGAAAATATTACAGAATGATTTATAATTTAAGAGGAGGGTTGGCATAGGCATAACACAAAACCAAGAAAGCACATAGGAAAAGATTGAGTCTAAGTTTAGAACTTATGCAAAGGTACTATACACAAAATAAATGACTAATTACATACCAGGAAAAACGTCTGCATGTGGAGGCTGTGTGTGAGTCAACTACCTCATAGGTGGTTCAGAAGCAACCCCACCAGGAAACTAAAACACACACCACTTTCCATCCCCCAGGACCCTATCTCCTCCTAGACAGACATCCCTTTTCAGCTTACTCCTTTGACAGCCTTCACTCCTATCTGGTAGGTCAGATTGTTCAGGAATGGGATGTCAGGGCCAGGTGCAGTGGCTCGCACCTATAATTCCAGAACTTTGGGAGATGGAGGCAAGGGGTTCGAGACCAACCTGAGTAACTTGGTGAGACCTTCTCTCTACAATAAATTTTTTAAAAATTAGGCATAGTGGTATGTGCCTGTAGTTCCAAATGTTTGGAAGGCTGAGTCAGAAGGATCGCCTGAGCCCAGCAGGTAGAGACTGCAGTGACTGTGAGCATGCCACTGCACTCCAGCCTGGACAACAGAGTGAGACTACAACTCAAAAAAAAGCGGGGGGGGGATGTCAGAATCCCCTCCTAGCTTTTAAAAGTTCTCCACTTAGAAGCCAAGGGGATTGGGATGCATAAAATGAAATTTTGTGTTGGGGTTGGTTGTTGAAGATCCAAGTGGATGAAGGGACAGGTATTATCAGACAAGTGCAACAAGCCCTAGTTATCAAGAGGGCCCAGAGCTGGTCATGGTGAGAAGGTTGGGGGAATGGTCTTATCTCTCCTTGCCAATCCCTATCCTTCGTGAGCTCTCCCACTGAGTTCTCTAGTTTGTCTCTGAGCAGCAGTTTCTGTGGTAGGCCTGTGTCCCTGGCTAGGGTTGACCTCTGCGGCAATACCTTTCCCTCTATAGCACAGGATTGAGAAAAGTCGCATGTGCATTCAGCCACTGAAGGGCTACATAATTGGCCTAGGGTCTGCTAGGCTCTTTTGCAGATTTTGGTCCTCCTGCTTTCACTGCTTTGGGAAGTTATGCCATGTGGACAGCAACAATACCATCAGTAGACATATCTCTCTCCTTGTGGCCCTGGGAGGAAGCCATGAACTCTACCAAATCTGAATCCCTGAAGGGATCACCAGAGGTAAGTCACTGTTGCTGTTTTTAGTTTTTGAAGGGAAACTGAGATATGGAGAGATGGGCTGTTTAATTTCTTGACCCTATATGAATACCTCGCTGTTTGCAAAGAGAGGAGAAGTAGACACATCGTGAGTGGTGAATCATGAGACACCTATGAATTGAACCCTGGCATTTTGACTCCCAGACAAGCAACCTAACTGCTTCCTCTACCTTGCTTTTCTGGTGTTGTGTGCACTGGTTTATGTCGTTGAATGTGTTTACTCTTTGCTAACTGCAAGAGCCCTAAGAGCAGGAAAGGTAGCTTGGCAAGAAAGTCAAAAGTCAACAAACCCCTGAGGCCCTAGGCCAAGTTTCTATTCCTGGCCACTTCCCCGCCCTCACGGTGGTTGATGTAACTGGAGCCTCAGCCCAGCCCCAGCACTGGCCAGGCCCCTCCTACAGCCCTGGTTGTTTAAAACCAAACTCGGTTCTCCGGGATTGGTTCTGCTTCAAAACAAAGGGGTGAAGGTATACTTGCTTCGGGCATCCTTGCATCCTGCAGGCAGCAAGCTGGTTTATGGGTTCGGGCCTCGTGTCGGAGCCACCGCGGTGCCTCCGGCTGCTAAAACCGGACCCCAGACGGTACCAGGCTGGTAATAAAGCAGTGACTACTGTGTAAAGGTGGCATAATCATCGCAACAATAACAGCCGTAATTAGGCTAACCACCACCCACCTCGGCCCTGGAGTTTGCCCTGACTCACCCCGATGGCACGCGGACCACTGGGGAAGAAACTGAGGCCGAGGCGGAGCCAGCAGGCTGGAAGAACTAGTAGCCCTGAATACTGCAGCTCTCCAGGTGCAAAACCTGTTGTCCTCACTAAAGGAGAAAACCCAGGAGCGCCCACAAAGCCCGATTCTGATATTAGCCTTTCACTGCCGGGGACCGTCCCCACCCAGGCCGCAAGGTTCTAAACGTCCCCCCGCAAGCATTAGAAAAAGACCCGCTCGGAGCGCGGGGACTAGGAACTGGACTACAGTTCCCTTGGACCTTTGCAGGCAAAGGCGCGCTCCTCGTTCACGCCCCCAAGACACCGCGACCCCTTGCACCGCGCTGCCTCCTGGGAGTTGTAGGACAGCGGCGTGATCTTTTGAGCGAGGTCTCAGGCCTGAGGACTCCATATCCCGTGGTGCCCTGCGGCTGTTTCTGACGCGCCGAGGCCAGCAGGTAGGGGCGTGGCTTGCGAAGGGCCCCACCCCGCTCGCCTCTGGCTGGTC